GGACAACTACAAATTCTCAAAAGCTTCACACTATCTTGATTAAGATAGTGTGAAGCAAAATCAATTCGTGGTACCCAACAAAACTTCACCACAAAAGCTTCACCAATAAAAGCTTCATCAATGGAAGACAACTACAAATTCTCAAAAGCTTCACTACATCTTGATCAAGATAGTGTGAAGCAAAATCAATTCATGGTACCCAACAAAAGCTTCAACTCCAAAGTTTCACCAACAAAAGCTTCATCAATGGAAGACAACTACAAATTCTCAAAAGCTTCAAACTATCTTGATCAAGATAGTGTGAAGCAAAATCAATTCATGGTACCCAACAAAAGCTTCAACTCCAAAGTTTCACCTACAAAAGCTTCACCAACAATAGCTTCACCTACAAAAGCTTCACCCACAAAAGCTTCACCCACACAAAAGCTTCACCCACAAAAGCTTCACCCATCACAAAAGCTTCACCCACAATAGCTTCGCCTACAAAAGCTTCACCCATAAAAGTTTCACAAACAAAAGCTTCACACACAAAAACTTCACCCACCACGAAAGCTTCACCCATAAACGTTTCACCAACAAAAGCTTTACCCACCACAAAAGCTTCACCCATAAAAGCTTCACCCACAAAAGCTTCACCCATAAAATCTTCACCAACAAAGGCTTCACCCACAAAAGCTTCCCCCACCACAAAAGCTTTACCCACAAAAGCTTCATCCACAAAAGCTTCACCCACAAAGCTTCAACACAAAATCTTCACCTACAAAAGCTTCACACTATCTTAATCAATTCATGGTACCCAACAAAGCTTCAACCTCAAAGCTTCACGAACATTCGAAAATTCAAAAATTTGAAAATTCGAAAAAAAAAATTACCTAGGCCTTCTCTTCTTTGGGCCTAACAACTTTCATAACAAATATATATGAAGAAGGAGTTTTTGGCTACCACTTAGAAAGGAAATACCTCATTCGTTAACTCCCTCGACTGAAGACTTGGGGGACTCCTACCATATGCTACTGCATCTTGATACTCGGAAGTCTCACGACCACTCAGTGACTTGGATTTTTTCAAGTCTCCAACCGAGAAGTCTTCCTCACTTGGGAAATTAAGGGAGCACTACCTCAACCTACATGCTTCACTCACAAAGCTTCAACATACAAGATTCAACAAAAGGAAAAATTCAAAGAATTTAGTGAAGAAGGCCTTGGTGTATTTAACACAATACGTTGAAATGAAGCAAAACTTGTTTATTTATATCTTCGATCAGTTACAAATATGTATATATACATGAATCAAAATAAACAAACAAAAGGGAGTATTCACAAAGGTTGCTCAGGAGAAGTCTCAGCTGTCGGTAGAGCCCCAGAAAAATGAGGCATCAGAGGGTGATTATTCGGAACCTCAGTATTAGGCAGAACCCTAGAAGGAGGAGGCACCGAAGGTTGATCATTTGGAGCTTCATCACACGATACAACCTCAGAAGATGAAGATAATAAATGCATTTGGAACAAACCCACAAACCTTTGATGATCAAGTAAAATCTGACCATCAGATTCCTGCAGCTGGTCGAGCTTCCTCTTCATGTTTGTAGCATAGTCATGTGCGAGCATGTGCAACTGTTTATTCTCATGCTTGAGCCCTATGATCTCTTGTTTGAGACTTATCACTTCAGCTGCCAATGATTCAACTTGGCGGGTTCGAGCAAATAGGCGTTAGGCCATATTAGACACAGAACCTGCACACTGAACACTGAGAGCCAGATAATCCTTAACAGCCAACTCATCAGACCGTTTCGAAAGTAGTCTGTTATCTTTGCGAGTGAGAAGTTCCTGGCCACTACAGCAGCGGTCATATCATTCTTCATCATAGAGTCCCCAACGGTAAGAGGACCAGTAGGGGATAAGAAGGATGGACGCCATATGTTGTCTTGAGAAGGCATGGCTGCCTCTTCACCAAAGTTCAAATCAAAACGACGGTCGGATGGGCCAGACATTCTTAGAAATGATGAAGGAGAAATGAGGTGCAATAAATCTCTGAAGTAAGGGGAAAATTCCTACAAGCAATAACTCTCTGAATGTACTTCTTACACATAATTGGTGCCTTTATAAAAGAAATGGCAACATGGTCGTTGGTTCAAAAATCGAAGATGCATCACTCTCCGGATTTCGAAGAGGCACCACTTTCCACACGCAACATCAGCTCATCGGGTACTACAGATAACTTTGCCAAAGATCTCTGACAAAGTTTAGACACATAAATTTTGAAGGTCCAGCTACCTTACTATTACCCATAAGGGTAAATGAACAGCAACACTACTTGATAACTAGAAAGTCCCAATGTGTGTCAACCTCCATGCTCCGTGGCAAGGCAGACTGGCAAAAATGCCCAACCTTTACTCCAAATCTCGAAAGCCAGACTCCCAACATGATTACTTTTTCAAAAATCGAAAAGACACTGCTCTCCGAATCTCAAGAGTCAGACTCTCAACAGGATTACTTTCTAAAAAATCGAAAAGGCACCGCTCTCCGAATCTCGAGAGCCAGACTCCCAACAGGATTATATGCTCAAAAATCGAAGAGGCACCGCCATCTGAATCTCGAGAACCATACTCCCAACATGATTACTTTCTAAAAAAATCGAAGAGACACTGCTATCCGAATCTCAAGAGTCAGACTCCCAATAGGATTGTTTTCTTAAAAAATCGAAGATGCACCGTTCTCTGAATCTCGAGAGCCAGATCCCTAACAGGATTGCTTGTTCGAAAATCGAAGAGGCACCGCTCTCCGAACTTCAAAAGCCAGATTTCCTTGGATAAAGCTTGTCTGCAATTTTCACACGCAACATCAGCTTTTTAGACCACAGACCACTTTTTCAAAGTGCTCTGACAAAGTTAAAACACGTGAAGCTTACAGCTCCTACTACATTGCTATGACCAAGAAGGGTAAATGAATAACACTACTACTTATTGTTAGGGAGACTCCTAATATGTCGACATCCATCCTCCATAGCTAGGTAGACCTACAAATAAAAAAAAATGCTCAACTTTTCTTCACATCCAAGAGGGCACTCTCAGCAGAGTCTCTCGAAATACTCAGCTTCTTTTCCTCCCGATAATACCTCTGCAAACAAGCCACACCAGAGCAAGAGTATCTCATATCATCAGGGTTAAAAGTAAGAGTATCCCATATCATGCTTTTTTCATATCTTTTCCTTTGACCTTGTTCTTACCTGCAAGATAAAAAGAAAGAGAGCAATCAATCAGTACTTGGAATCAACCTTCCAGTCAGGAACTGACTGCCTGGAACCCCTTGCCTGATTACTTACCTGGCATTGCTCTTGAGTACTTATCTTCAACATTCTTATGCTTCCAAAGAATATACCGCATCTGTCTGAGGAACAGATAGGGCAAGTGAGAAAGATACAAGGAAGCATGTGGAGACAAGCGCAACAAAACATGTGTCGATACATCCACTACTTTGTCAACAGTAAAAGTATCCCATATCATCAGGGTCGAACGTACTATAGATTTGATAGACTTATTTTGACCCTCAAATTCTTGAGTCGGCCTTATACTCTGGAGGAAACCAGAAAACCCCCCAGCCCAGTTCAAGAATAAGCCTGTGGAAAGTTACTTCTTCAAAAGCAAAAGTATCTCATATCATCTATTCTCCATTTGCTTCTCCTTATCCTTGTTGCTGTTTACGACACAAGGAGAAGGAAAACAATCAACCGGAAGCCGAAATCGAACCTCTAATCTAGGTTGCGTGCTTGGAAGTCTGATTGCTTACCTTGTCTGTTACCTCATTCGGCAAATCTCCTAGCTCGGCGACTTGGGGGACTCCTACTATAAGGTTTGTATCGCACTTGACCAAGCCCAAAACTATAAGTAAGCTTCAAAGGAAATTGATACATTACCTTGTGCATTTTCATCGGTTAAAGATACCACCCCTGGATGGAGGAAAAGTACTTCCAAAGAAGATGCCACATCTTCATATGAGATAGATAAGGCAAGTGAAAATTATACCACACTTCGGTACTTAGAAGTTTCGTGATTACTCAATGACTTGGATCTTGCAAGTCCCCAACCAAGGAGTTTCCCTCACTCGGGAACTTAGGGGAGTACTGTTTGTACCATACTTGACCATCCCGAAACTACTGAGTACCGGTCAATGTTATACTGTCAATGACCCAGAAGAGTTTCCCTCAAACCAGAAGGCCAATCATAGCGCGGCACGTGACGACATCAGAAGCCAATCATAGCGCGACACATGTCAACATCAGAACCCAATCACAACACGACACGTGTCAATGTCAGAATGAAACTAGAAACTCTCTTCTATAAATAGAGATCATTCTCTCACAATATTTCCTAATGTCATTTGTACTAAATCATTCATTAGTACTCACAAAAGTAGAGCTTGAACCTATGTACTTGTGTAAACCCTTCACAATTAATGAGAACTCCTCTACTCCGTGGACGTAGCCAATCTGGATGAACCACGTACATCTTGTGTTTGCTTCCTTGTCTCTATCCATTTACATACTTATCCACACTAGTGACCGGAGCAATCTAGCGAAGGTCACAAACTTAACACTTTCTGTTGTACCAAAGTTCTCGCTAATTTTGTGCATCAACATCATGCTTAATGTCTAGATCTGACAAACGATATTTTATCATATATTCTCGATAAGGTTTACAAAATTTTTTTTTTTTTTAAATTTTAAATGTTCTCGAATTTGACGTTTGTCGATCAGTTCACATTATTCGTAACTGTATGTAGTTTTCTCCCTTTTTAAACTTCACAAAATTTAGAGTGAGAGTGAGAATCACAAAAGCATAAAGTTTAGAAGTAGGATGAACCAAATGCCAAGTAACCACCCCCCTTTACCTTTTGTTTTGTTTGTTTGTTTGTTTTTTTTTTTTTTTTTTTTGTTTTTATATCCTTGCATTGCAAAGTAAGCTATCCCTTTATTCCAAATTTCTAACCCAAATCAGAAGTACTCCTCTCTATATATCCACCTCAATACTCCCCCTGAACCTCACCGCAAACCAACAACAATGACAAGCGAGTCACACAAAACCAGCACCCACTCCTCAGCCGATCACGGAGGCAGCAGGCCCAACAAGCAACTAGACAAAGAAATCCGAGACATGGTCTCCGCCATCACCAACCGAGTCACCGACATCCACAAGTCCGGCTCCATCCACCACGAGGATGAGGACGAACACGGCGTGAGGATCATCACCCTCGCAGGATCCAACACCGGAGCGACATTGAGGAGTGAGCTGGATCACGAGAACATGAACAAATCTGGAGGGCTTCATGGTGGTGGTCCAGCGTTCGGAGACGCTGATGGGCTGAGCACTTATGTGAACAGCAACTTCCAGGCTGTGAACAACTCCCTCATGATGGGCGGTAGCTACACCACGAATGACCCCGGTGTTCATTTGGACATCACGGATGTTGTGGAGCCGCACGGAGGGCATCACGGGAGGCCGGAGAGGCGGGGGTTGAAGGGTAAGAAGGGGAAGGGGAAGGAGAAGGAGAAGGAGAAGGAGAAGGAGACCTTCCATAGCGACCAGCATGATGAGCAAGATGAGGACTGATGTCATTACGTTTTTTGATTTTTCATGAAGTGGCTTGATTAATTACAAATAATAAGAAGCCTTTCTATGGCTTTCTGGTTTGTTAAGTTATGATTAATTACTTTCACTTCCGAAATTGTCTTTTGTATTGTCTGGACCTTTTCTTTTGGCTAAAGAATGCAAAAATCATGATGAGTACTATAATTTTCTTTATGGTAGATAAATTTTTCGATGAAGCTGACACATTTTCGTGTCTTGTTACAAATCCATAAAATATCAACCTACTTTCATCTATTCATATTAGAGCATGTACATTAGTATAGCACTGCATGCGAGAGTGGTCATCAGGTCCATCACTCTCAGTTTTTGTTCGTCATTGTCACTTAGGGTTAGTTTAGTATTATTGTGTTTTGAAAGAAAAAAAAGATGTTTCTGTTGTGATGTAAGAATAAGTGTAGAATTATCAGAGAGATAGGCCAAAGGTCACTTCCAACAACACCGATACTATCCCCAACTTAGTAATTATTACCACCTGCACAATCTGTCAGGTGTGGGGTTTTATCACAAAGGTCTCGATGTTAGTTGGAGTGGGTTTAGGATATTTAAACTCTTATTTTCTTATTGATACAGTCGATGTGGGACATTTCAACACGCCCCCTCACGTGGGACCCAATTAGTGGGTCACACGTGGGAGATCCACACATCAACAACTACGTGGAGCCAAGAGGACTCACCCTACACACGGGGCCAAGGGACCCACCATCATCGCGCCGGTCCAAGGGGACTCACCATCATTGTGCCGGTCCAAGGGGACTCACCCATCACATGGCAGTACAATATGGGCTCGCTCCCTGGCTCTGATACTATGTAGAATTATCAGAGAGACAGGACAAATGCCACTTCCAACAACACATTTACTGTCTCCAACTTGGTAATTACTATATGCACAATTCATCAGGTGTGGGGTTTTATCACAAAAGGCCTCGGTGTTAGTTGAAGTGGGTTTAGGATATTTAAACACTTCTTTTCTCATTGATGTGGTCGATGTGGGACATTTCAACAATAAGCAGTTGTGAAATAAAACAATAAAGTATTTGGTAATGATAATTGTAAAAGTACTTTTAATATAAAAAAAATTATTATAGTGTTTGGTAAATATTTATGTAAAACAGCTATGATTGTGTAAAATGACAACAACAAAAAAAACAAACAAACAAACAAAACTTATTGGATTTTCTTCCTTTCTTTTTTTTTTCTGCCAAAAAGTTCATGATTGTTTCCTTGTTCCTTTCTTCTTTGTTTCCCTTTCTTTCTAACTTTTTCATTCTTCTTTCTTTATATTTCGTTTTGCCAAAATGTTTCTAGCTTTTCTTCCATTTTTCATCAATGATCCCTCCTGAAATTTCAAAGTCCTCACCCACCTTCATCCCTTCGCATTTCTCTTTCAGTTCCGGCGATCTGGAACCTACGTCCTCACTCCTATTACTATTTTCTGCATTTTGATTTCCAAGGCATTACATGTTTTGGAAGGTGCGGTGGTGGATGGGTGGGTGGGATCTGGGTTATCATCTAGCAGGGAGTGGGTTGGGATCATGGTATGTGAGGTGGCGATGGGTGTATTTGGTGGGGATTGGGGAGAGATGGGGTGGCAAATATGGGGAGTAAGAAGAGATGGATGGGATGGGGTGGTGAATCTGGGTAGTACGGCATCAAAGAGCGACTGTGGAAAAGGGTTGGAGTCTAGAACTAGGATGAAGGAGAAAGAGAGGGTAAGGTTGCCATTTTGAAAAATTCATTTAATGGCACTGCTCACCCATGTATTGTGATAAAAAGCTGGTTTTCCAAAGCTGGGTTTTGCTACTTTGCCTTTTTAGCTTTTTTTCACCCAAAACTATGAAGAAAAAAATTGATTTTGAAAGTTTACCAAACACAAAAAAACTGGGTGCTTTTTTTCATACTTGTTTTTTTTTTTTTTTTTTTTTTTTTTAAGTTAAGCAGTACCAAACTGGTACTTAGCCTTTTGGGGGGTGAATATTACTTGGTTTCTTACCGAAGAAGTCAGCCTCTTTCACATAACAACATTTCATCATTTCACTGTACAAATGTCATAATTTAAATTGTTAAATCTTTTTATCATCATCTAAAGATCATCTATAGCCAAGTTCATTTGATTTTAAAATAGCTTAGTCATCCATTTGTGTCGAACAAATCAATTATTATAATAACAAGTAATATCATCATTATTAACTATCAATCTGCCAAGAGAAATGACTCCTTATATATAAGGAATCAAGCAGTGTTCTTCCGAAGTGCCTCTAATGACCATTGCGTATTATACTCTTTCACATGGTATGTTTAAGTTCCACAAAACATAAGCTAAATTGTTAGGAACGCACCACAAAAATTAGGAAGAGGAACTTAAAATGACTAGATACAATACATATAGAGTAGTATAATGTGTTTGGGTTAAAACTTGAACTTTGGGCTCAAGAAGGAGTTGGCCCAAAAGGAGGTCTGAAAAGGGGAAAAGCCCGAAGCCTAGCCAAAGCCCAGAAGGCAGAAAAGGCATTTCCCGACTAGGTGCAGATCATTTGCACCACTTGCTCACCTGCCTAGAGACCAAGTGGTATAGACCAGCCAGCTAATCAGCCCAAAAGTACTTTACAGTGGCAGTACAAGTAAATAGTTGATGAGTCATTACCTTTCAAGCTTCATTCGGGCAAGATTATTGCTACAGGAGGCCAAACCGAAGTGTCTATAAAAGAAGAAAGAGAAATCAGAGATAAAGACACTCAATCAACAAATACAAGCACAAACTCTGCTCAAGCTAGATTTGCCTTCAAACGAAGCTGTAGTCAGCCCAAGCTTTCATCCATTTCGGGATAAACTCTCACCAAAAGCCTTTGTAATAGCTCTGCTACCTTGTCCTAAGCTTGCTGTAGTATCGATCTCTTTCTGTAAACTCATCTCCCTACCCCCCTTTCTAAAGCTCTCAAACCCCTTGATAAACCACAAAGATAGGAAGTTGCAAGACGATCAGCCTTGCCCGACAAGGTGAAACCTTGCCCGACCCTCTTTGGTTTTGTCTTTTCATTCATTAGCCTAGCAATATGTTGTATACTTCTAGTTGTATTCAAGTTATTTCTAGTAAGATGACGATTAAAAGCCTATATTAGTTCTTGAATCCGATTTGAATATGTCTCCACAGTTTAAATCAGATCTAAGTTCTAAGCTCTCAAGCATGTAAGATTGATCATTCAAAAGTCCTTTGTCTTAAGGCATAAAAAAAGAACCTTATGTGGACTTAACCCATCCACGACAAGCTTTGATAAACAAGAAGTCCGAAGTTACCTGGGGCGCAAGTAATCGATCTATCTTTTAGTTTTATTTCTATTATATTATGATTACAGTAGAACGTTTGAGTATAGAAGGAATTCTGATAGGAAGCCTCAAGACCTATATCTAAGGCCCTACAAAGGCACTTATTTGGATTCATTCTGCTCTTCGGGCTCGGATAATCAGAAGTTTAATAGTTATAACACTTTTGCAATCAATGAAACAGACATCGTATATTCGAGTGCTAGGTTAGTTCTTGATTGGAAGCCTCAAGGCCTACACCTAAGGCCCCACAAAGGCACCTGTTATAACTAACACAACCTCTCGAGTATATGTACAACTAAAACTCAACATCCATTTTACATCTGCCATGCTAAAGATGGCAGTGGCACGCCTAAGCACTTAAAAATTAATCTTGATTGTGAGCCTCAAGGCCTATATCTAAGGCCCCACAAAGGCACATTTCAAAGTTAAATCTGTCCTTCTCTTTCAGCCTTGCCCGACAAGCCCGTCAGTGAAGCAGAAGCCCGACAGAAAGCATCAACCGGCGCCAACCTCTCGGGGAGCTGTGTGCTCGTCGGCTAAGAGACATCCCCGACGGAAATTCTAGCCACGAACATAATGTTTTTGTAGTGCATTTGTAATATTTTAGTAGAATATTTGTAGTTCTGAGTTGTTCACTGATATTCTTTTTGTAATGCATTTTAACAATTAAGTATTAAATTTCTCAATTTTCCAAAAAGTAACTATTTCTTTTGTGTATTATCATTTTTCTTCATCATGTTATAATAGGATGATTTATTAAGCACATCCAAAAATTAAAAAAAAAAACTTAATATTTTGAATTGCAATATAAATGTACAATATTACATAAATGAGTCTACTTGACTAAGGGGGGTGTATTCAATTGAGAATTGGAGAGATTTTAATGGATTTATAAATCCATGAATTTTTATGGAGTTTAATTGATTTGTAGAGATTCCATGTAAAATTTTGATTCAATTCCCTCAAAATCTCATGATGAGAGGTGAGATTTGTGGATGCTTAAAATACACTACAAAATCTCTCCAATTCCCTCTAATTCCTCATCTTTTTGAAATTCTTTAAAATCAAATTCTAATTGAATACACCTAGAATGTTATAAACTTATTTAAAATCTTAATTGAATACAATCAAATTTCTAAGGATTTTAATAAACTATCTTAAAATCTCGATTGAATACACATTAAATTTCAAAGAATTACTTAAAATTCTGATTGAATACCCCTAGATTCATTAAAAGAATTAAAATCCTGTAAAATCCCAATTGAATACACCCCTCTAAGTGTATTCATAACCGATTTTATGAAGAGACAATTGCCCATTTTATGAAGAAATAGTTGTCGCTAACTTAAACTTAATTACAAACTGCCACATACTTCAACTTATTTATGATAATACTATCACTCTCTTACTTTTGTCCTTATTGGTAAAGTGTCTTCATTAAAATTTGTTGTGTGAAACCCTTCCAAATACTCCCCAGTTTTTTGCACATCATTGTGCGAACTATGTAAAGTACAAATAACTATTTCGTACGAATTATCAAGAACTATTTCTGCACGAATTACCAATAACTATTTCTATACGAAAGACCAACAATTGTTTTTCCATAAGCTAATGAAAATGGCCTAATTATAGAAAAACAATTTTCGATAATTTATGAAGAAACAATTGTTGATAATTTATAACGAAACAATGGTTTATACATAAACAGTTGCAAGTAATTTATGAAGAAATTGTTGTTGATAATTTATAAAAACACCGGTCAATAATATATGAACGTAACCTTATATTTTAAAAAAGGAAAAACTAAAGAAAATTGTCTCACA